GTGTACCAGAGTCTCTTTATCTTTACTTCTTTCATTATCGTCGCAATTATGGGCTTCATGATACAACTTCCCGATCAATTTTCAGTGTTTTTACCAGTAAATGTGATGCATAGTGGGTCAGAGTACATTGAGTTGAACACGACACGTACCGCATGGGTTTCAGCTGTGCCTCCAAGCTCACTAAGATTACCGAAAGAGGCCTCTTACTCCATGTACAACTCATTTGGGGTCATCCTAGCATCCTATTCGTTTCTGCAAATAATGCGTTCGGCCTCTGGTCCTGGTGGATCTGGGCTTCAAACTGTACTTGCAACAAAATCGGAACGTGAAGTACGATCACAAACATTCTTGGCAATGTTATTTTTGAGTCTACGTTGGGCATTTAGCGCTGGAATTGCCATTATGGGTATTCACTATTCCATGAAGCACGCAAACGTTGTAATTGATCCCGAACGTGTGGTACCTCTAGTGATCAATAACGTACTTCCAGTTGGTATAAAAGGTTTCGTCTTGGCTTCGCTACTGGCAGCAGCGCTCACGACCTTCGACACGACGATAAATAGTGCATCATCGTATTGGACAGTGGATATCTATCAGACTCTTATTCATCCAAAGGCTTCAGAAAAGCAATTGCTTTGGCATGCGCGGTTCTCGTCAGTCTTTGTAATGCTGACTGGCCTTTTTCAATCATTAGACGTGAGTACAATAAACCGTATCTGGGGTTTCATAACTATTGCGCTGGCTGGTGGCCTCATTTGGCCCTTTTTCTTTTCATGGTATTGGGCTCGCTTTAATGCCTTAAGCTGCCTCGTTGGAGTCGCGTCAGGGTATCTCTCAGCAATCGCCTTGTTCATGTACGTAACTCTACGTGTTTCATTTTCTATGTACTGTGATGACTAAATGCTTGTATTTCGAATCTTTATGTAGCTTTGCACCGCAACTAGAGGAATTTCGAACTTTCGTTATCACAGCGTCTATCTCTGGAATTCTCTCCCTTAGTGTCTGCCTTTTAACACGACCTGAGTCTGACAAAGTGCTTCGACAATTTTATCGATTTGCTAGACCACCGGGAGCTTGGTCTCATATCAAGCACATTTGCTTTACGCAAGATGTAATTGCTAAAATTGATTTGGAAAATCATACTGATCTCGCGTGTACGGGACTCATCATTGTAGCACAATTGGCACTGTACATTCTTGCAGTAAGTATCGTATCGAAAGCATGGACTCAAAGTCTTGTGTTAGTAGCTACACTCATTGTCACGCTGACTTTTATCTACTTGAAGTGGTACGTGAAGTTAAAAGACCGTCCGGTTGGTCTTACTAAAAATGAGTTTAATGATTCGCTATTGGGTTAAATAAACTGCACTTTTAATCATCACTCTCTTTTTTTTCATTAAAACATCGAATAGCTCCCTTAGTGGTAATGACAACAATGTGCGACAAATGCGCTGTTGTCAGATCTCGCATGTTTGTTGCCTTGACGTTTCATGGGAGTCCATGCGTATAGGTTCCGCGTATTGGCCATGAAAAGTACTCGAAGCTAATGGTGTGACTACAATATGTCCAGACTATTGTAATATCACACCAGCTGGTGTGAAATTAACCGAAAACAAAAGGTGTGGGTACACCAGCATCTCGTCGATCTAACGATTTGACTTGGCGTAGACAATTTCAAGAAAGTTTATCACTGCCTTTCAGAGCTGAGTCATTTCAGTGAGCACGAATTTACATGATTTCATGGTACCAGTTACTACGCAAAGGCTTACCAAGAGAGTTACTGGACGCGTTAAAATGGATATGAAAGAGTTGGTGTACTGGCTGGTGGCATCAGAGCGGACGAGACCTCCACTTAGTGTATGCAAATCATGTAACAAGGCAAGCGCACACAGACGGGTCACGCGCCGTCCGCTACGAAGCTCTCTCAGCATAATACACAGGCACATCTCAAAACAAACCAGTCAAAACAGCCAGCTGGCGCCGAAGAACCCAAAGAGCGGACTGAGCACCAAGCGAAAAGACTCGAGTGCCGTTATCTCATCAAAAGCTCGCTTCTTCTTCGCTTGATAAGAAAGTTATGGCACATACAGACGCTACCAGTGCCTTCAACAAACATGTTGCCACCATTCAGCAGCTTCCATCAGCCTTAAAGGCTCGGATCTCGAATAAAGCTGCCTCCTCGCATGCTTCGCCTGAACGACGCAAGAAGCGCCAACGTAGTCCGTCCGTCACTATTGAGCTCAACTGTGAGACATCTGTTAAAAAGATAAAGAAGAGTCTGCGCTGGTCTACTATCACGATCCATGAATTTGGCGTTGGACTGGGTGGGAGCTCAGTGCCAGGCAAAGGTGGCCCATCGATCGGTCTTAGCGACACACCTGAGTTTACATGGACCACAAAAGTGGGCGAGATGGCTGAGTGCGTCGAAGGCGTGCATCGCTTCACGCCTGAAGAACGTGTTCAAATGCTAAAGAGCGCAGGTGTGAGCGATGGCATGATCCTGCGATTTTCAAGAGAAGCTAACATTATTAATTGCTCGCGTCGGAGAACGGTTGTAGAAAGCAATGCTGAGAAGGAGGAGAGAAGGCAGCGTCGACAACAACAACAGCAACAGTGTAAGACAGAATTGCCTCGTCGTGCCTGCTCCTCGTTCCTTAATCGTTCGCAGATGATACCTGTCGACTACGTTTAAAGAGGTTTCGTATAAGTAATTGCTAGTGCATTGCACCCAGAGATGATAACATTGGCGCTGATTAATAGTTAGTTTAGATAATATTGTGATTAATTGAGACT